ACAAGATATGTGTTTAGGGATAAAGCTTTGCAACTCAAAATCTATTGGGGATAAACAGGTGGGTGTAGAATTAATTGGACCAAAATCTATCAAACAGAGATGAAAACAGAGCAAAGCAGGAACGGATACAGGACTTAACTACAAGCCGGGCTAATACGTAAAAAAAAAAAAAAAATTACACATGAAATTTTTTTTACATAAAAAAAAAATTCTACCAAAAAAAATTCAGTGGGCTGGGACATCTGTCCCCGAGTTCCCTCATGCGAATTAGAGCAAGTGGAATCTCTAGCTATAGTTTTGCTCAATTGTGTAGCCCGACTCAATCCCCCCTTACATCTGTCCCTGAGTACGAGTTCCCTCATGAGAATTAGAGCAAGTGGAATCTCTAGCTATAGTTTTGCTCAATTGACTACTTGAACTTCCACTAAAATCTCCACTCGACTATTGGTGGATTTATCACTGGATCCACTAGTAGACTGTCATATACATTGCATGAGGTGAGAATTACTCGTAATAGAAGGAACTCAGTCGATCAATGACTCTCTTTTCTTAGAGCTCTCTAGTAAAATTTGTGCAAAGAGTTAACTGAGAAGGAATTTAACGCTATAAAATATGAACTATAGAAGGATCGTATGGGCGGAAAAATTCCCACCAAGTTATGACCCATTAGGGTTTCACGCATGTCTTTGGTTTACTAGCAATGTGTTATTAAATCAACTCACTTAACGAATCTTGATACATGTACATAATAAATTACATAATATAATGTGAAGGGAAAATATTATATGAAAAAGTTGATTTTATTTTAAACTGACAAATGGTAAAGTACCATGTAACATTATGTAATTCATTATATAAATTTCTATGTACATATAACAAGATCCTACTTGACTATAAGGATGTAGGTCCCATTTACCTATTATGTATTGCCAGTTAAAATAGTGTTAAACGCCACTAGAAATAGATAACATTATTTTATGTTAATGACACGTTAGACATGCCACCATAAATGATTAGTTTAACCCTTAAAATTGTGTATGTTGCTTTCAAGTCACTTGTAATACAAAAAAAATTATAGGTGAGCTAGTTCTCAGATAAAAGGGATAGGATAGTGACGTGGAGTGGACGGAAAATAAAGTCCGCCCCTCTTGTAGGTGTTTCCGCCTTCAAGCACCACCATGACATTGTCATCGAGAGAAAGATTCTTAGCATCAACAGATATCCATTACCTTTATGTTCAAATTTATTAAATGTGTCGCATATTGTTTTTAGAGAAAACAAAATTAAAATGCATTTTACTTATTTTTATTTTGGGTAATTGGCGAAAAATGCCCTTATCTTTGAAGATTTTTGTGGAAAACGTCCATACCTGTTGTTTTTTGTCGCAGAATGTCCTTACCTTTCACATTATTTGCGCTAAACGTTCTTTTCACCAATTTTTAACATAAAATGACCATTATACCCTCCAATATAAATAAAACAAAAATAAAGAAAATAAAAATAAAAAATAAATTATAATCTGCTCCTAAACTTTTTAAAAAATGCAAATAAGCACTTCGAAACTTTGAAACCCGGATGCAAGGAATTAGCATTCCTGTTGGCTCCGGACAACTCTCCAAACTTTGAAACCGGGATGCAAGGAATTAGCATTCCTGTTGGCTCCGGACTCTCCAAACTTTGAAACCGGGATGCAAGTAATTAGCATTCCTCCAACGTTTCATCATGTGAAACGAGAAGAGACCTTGAACGGTCCCATGATGATCCACGTAATGCCATAGTTTAGCATTTTCTGCAATCACGCCATCAGCAATTCGTCCTTTTGAGCTTTCGGTTGGCAATTCATCACCCTTTAAATCAATCACCTCTCCCAAATCTGCAACCATAATCAGTCCACTGTTTCCATTAACGGCTGGCTTTTCTGTTTGAACAACGTCGACAGACGGTTGATCCTCTGCATTCATTTGTTAAAAAAAGAGGGGGGTGGGGGGTGGGGAGAGCAAAACTATGAAAATCGAAGCACTGAAAATAACACTGAGTGATAATAGGATAATAGAGACCCAAATTTGCCTATTTATGACTCAATTTTTGCTCATTTTTACCCTAGTATATATCTAAAGCTTTCTATTTCCAAGTGTCTTCTTATGGTTGACAAATGAGAGTTTTATTTGTTAATCTTCCTTGGTTCTAGGGCCAGGGAAAAACTAAAGCAAATCGAGTTCAGTTGAGTTGGGTTCCAATTTGAAAATCAAATTTGAGTTCAGATTGAGCTGGATTTCGGGTTATGAATTAAAATCCAACCCAACCCGATGAATTGAAAAATATTAATACCTAAGATGAAAGAACATAAATAGATGCAATAATGGAGACAAGATAAGGAATTAGAATGTACAAATGTCACATAAGTTGACTGGATGATTACTATTCACAAATGCAAAGATATTTTAATGAATAAATGAATCTTGATGATCCCAAAATTATGTCGTGACCCGAGCACTTTATCCCGAGGAGTAGTATTGCTGATTCCATCAATCTCGGGCATGGAACCTCCTCGGGGTGGTACCTCTTCGAGCATATGAGGCGATACCCTCCAGCATATAGACGTGGTCAGCGTATGTCCTCAGGTAATAACATTTCTTATCAGCTAACAATCTCCTCGAGGTTATGTTTTGACCTTGCACCTAACAACCTTTGATCCATTAGGACTCTTCGATAAAATAAAGCTTATCCAGTTCCAAGGAAGTTGAGTCCAGATGTTCCTATTCCATTTAGATAGGACTCTTATCAGCGGAACTCTATCTTTATTCAAGCACATCAATGGTACAATATCAATCAAATTGCAACTTCTAAGCATGGTAGGATTCTTAGGGATTTGAATAACTTAATCATATCAAGAATGTACTACCTACACTATAAATACAGCACGACAATTCATTATTCATGTACGCTTTTACATAATCTTCAGTTCATATCCTTTCGTATAAATGCTCTAGAGAGCACTGGGGGGTGATGAGGACATACCTCGACGCCTTTGTTTCAGGTTCCGTAAAATCACGTTCGTATTCATTATCAGTCATCAAGCCCGAAAATTAATATGTACGATTTTTTATAATATCAAATATTTTAAAAAATTGTAAAAAAATAAATTGCTTCTTAATTTCAAACTCAGTTAATACATTACTTTTTAGAAAGGATTCACTATATAGGATAAAAACAAAAAAGATTTTCTTGTGGTTCTAAACTTTAAATTTTTTTCCTAATTCAACAAAAAATAACCGTATCCAACTTGAATTATGCCCAATTCTGAACCGACCCAAGCTTGATCGATTTGGGTTAGGTTGGATTTAAACACATAATTGGATTGGGTATCATACCGACCATGTTTGGTTTGGATTGAGTAAAAAATTAACTCAACTCACGTCCAGCCATACTTGGTTCAACATGATAGATTTACCCATTGAATGTTTAGATATGTAACATATATATTTCCTAAGCGTGATTGTTATTTTATTTTATTTTAATTTAATCCATCACTTAATAATTAACTAGAAAGGAAGATAATTTATATATTTAGGGCATGTTTGGTAGGGATTCTCATTTTCTACAGTAAATCAATTTTCATTTTCAACTACAAATTTTTCAATAAAATAATATTTTCTATCATATCAATAATTTTTTTTTCTTTTTCAACCACACATTTCCCATCATATCACTATTCAAAATCAATTCTTCCCCCAAAAATCCTTACCAAACAAGCACTTAACATCCTCCACGAAAAATTAGTTTCCTATGGAAATTCTCATTTTCAACCACACATTCTTCAATAAAATAATATTTTCTATCACATCAATAATCTTATCTTCTTTTTCAACCACACATTTCCCATCATATCACTATTCAAAATCAATTCTTCCCCCAAAAAATCCCTATCAAACAAGCTCTTATTTATGTTGACCCCAAAAAGTGAACTCAACAAATGTCAGGCCCACTCTTGCCACGTCAAGTGTTGATCCAGCATGTTTCTACTAGAATGGGAATGGTAGTTTGACAGTAATGAACGTGGGAGACACTTTCCGACGAGAGACAAATGTTCAAGCTCCGGCGATTGGATTTGGACAACACTCGTTTTCCTTAACCAAATCACTCGTTTTGTAATAGAACATGTGAAAGGATAGATATTAGAATATATTGTATAATGTTGGAATATCAATGTATGTTCTTCACTTGTGTTTTGTAAGACAAAGCAAAGCATATAAGGATGTTATTTTATTTCTCGATTGCACCATCCCCTTTTTCAGTACAAAGAGAGACTATTTATACTAATCTAGCCGACATGGGAACCGTTGGATCGGATCCACGTGGCGACATCTCCTAGACCGAGACTTCACATCACTATCCATTCATTACATTCAATTTTATACGGCGGGTCAGCCGTGCTAGTAGTGGGCTAATACTGGCACATTAACACTACAGACACTTTATTACAGACGTCTCATCAATCAATTCTAATAGATCTCTGAATCCTTTGGGGAGCAACGTCGGCATTAGCATGCGTTGAGGTCAGCTCTGGGCTTATGGACATCTGGTGTGATTGAGCCTCGATGCCTTAGCACTTCGGATAAGAGGAGCATCTGCCTTGTATTGAGGGTTTTAGGTAGACCTTCGTTACTTAGGCTGGAAGGGACATCGATGGATATAGCTTTGGCACTCGCATGACCTCGGACAGTTGCATCGTTTGTTGTCTTTGCATGTGCTGACTTTGTAACTGGCTCTATGTCCACTTGGCTATAGGAAGCACGTGGCCGTCCACGTGAAGTGTTGACTTAGAGCCTCTAATTTCGGGGGTAACAATTTATATGTAAATTTATAATTAAATATAGTAAATAAATAAAATCTGGTTTTCACAGAACTGCTAAATCTTGATATAGGTAACACCCGATCGACCAATGAGGTCATGGCCGAATAGTTTGATCTATTAACTAGATATGGATCACTATTCATTCCCTCAAACGAATTAGACTGAACGGAAGCCTAGCCGTAGGTCTTCTCAATTGACTACTTGAAATCCCACTAGAATCCCTAGATCAACTAGTAAACTCGCTTCTGGAACCGTCCTATGCATCGGAAATACTAAAGAGATGAGAATTACCCAAAATAGATGGAGCTCGTCAATCGATGACTCTACCTATTTCTCGGAGTAAAGTTTTAGCACCGTCCTTAGGTGCAATTAATATATGGATTCATGAATTTTGAGTGTATATCCTCCTTTATTCAACTGTATAAATTAATTACGATATATGAGGTAGGTTATAACACAAATTACTTAAAAGGAAAAATACATGATTAAATAAAAAATTCACATGTATGTAATAAAATGAATCATCAATAAATTTACTTATAAGTGAGCAAAATTATCTTTTTAAAACAAATTGTAACAATTTTCTTAAGTTTTCAATACTTGTACGTTTATCTTGTAATGTAACACTTAACGTGCTATTAATCAACCTTAATTTAATCACCAATTATTCTACCTTCCCTAATCATGTCCCTACTAATAGTAGACGATGTACCAAATATGCAATTTCACAATGCAAATCGACAAGATGACGTTAAAAATTACTAAAATGTTCAAATATATGGTCGCAATAATAGTATACGTGTATATATGTATAATGAGAACAACTTCTAGTGCTATACAATGTCTAATATTCTAGAAGTTTTACTACTCCTCGGTGACAAATGTCGCATGGAGTAGGGGACTTGTAATAGTTACAAGTTATACCCTACCCACTGGCGGACCCGGGGGGGTCCTGGGGGGAACGTGCCCCCAACTTTTGAGATTTATTCTCATTTTTTTAAAGTCATGTTTGGTATCGATTGAAATCTAAATTTTAATTTAAATCAAAGTTAACAATTAATTTTAATAATATATTTCATGAAATTCATAACTATTTAACTTTTCTTAAAATTAACTAAAAATTTGATTTTAATCTCCACCAAATATGGACAAAATCACAATAAATTTGAATTTCGATAACATGCTAATTTTAAAAATTCTCCGACGATCGTCCGCTAATCGAATTTACAAATTGCTTATGTCATCTCAAAACTTATTTCGAAAACTATATTATGGGCATATCGAATAGTACAAACAGATATCGAAAATAGTTAAAAATACGTTAAACGTGAGTCTTACAGAAAGACGTATAACTCGCATTTTAAAAAAAATTCAATTATTTCATTAACATTTATTATTTTTGTGATACAAATTTCTCAATGTAATTTTCATCATTTTATTAGGAAAATTTATATGGAATATAACATAAAAAAATTTCAAAATTTTACATCTGAAAAAGTTATATTTCATGTAAATTTTCGGATGCAAAATTAAATGGGTTATGATTTTTTTGAANATTCAAAATTAAATGGGGTATAATTTTTTTGGCAGTCAATTTTCTATTGTAAAATTTCTCTCAACTTCTTTACAAGTTCGATTGAGCCCCCTAAATTTAAAGTTTTGCGTCCGCCCCTGACCCTACCTCTAATCTTATTTTTGCATTGTTTTTGTTGGTCGAACAAGGATTGCGGGATGTAGAAGACTAGGGAGATAACTCGACCATATAGGGCATGCCCAAACTCTACTATGCTTAGACGTCAAATTGTTGCCTTAAAGTAGGTTGACCTAGTTATTTATGAATCTATTGATTGTCTATAAAACTTATCTTAATTGAATATTCTTCGTAGAATTATCGTAACAAGCATGGTGTTTGGAAACATAACATCTTTGATGCTACCAAAAATTGTACCTGGTGAATTCCGAGCTTGACGACTGACAGTGAGCACGAACGTGATCTTCCGGTACCTGAAACAAAGGCGTCGAGTTGTGTCATCGTCGCCCCTCCGATACTTAAGTCAGAGAGAGAATAAATCGAATATATGATGAGGGAAATATGTAAAAAATGTA